AAAAAACTAATTGGAAAAATATCTTCTGCTGAATGTGGTCAGCTAGTCACCATTGTTTGTGCGATGAGTGCCTCAGGCAGTTTTGTTGCTCCAGCTATCATATTTCCGCGGAAACGAATGAAAAATGAGTTAATGGATGGTTCACCTCCACAGGCCTTAGAAATGTGCTCTGATTCGGGTTGTAGCAACACCAGCTTATTCATTGATTGGCTGAAGCATTTCCAAGAACAGGTTCGAGCAGATAAGGAACACCCAGTGTTGCTAATACTGGACAACCATTCGTCCCACCGCTCATTGCAAGCTATAGAATACTGCAAAGACAATTTCACACATTTATTAACCATCCCACCTTATAGCAGCCACAGGCTGCAACCACTGGACCGGTGCTATTTCAAGACGTTGAAAGTTTTCTATGCAGATGAATGTGACCGTTGGCTAACGAATAACCCAGGGCGTCAAATAACACATTTTCAAATAGCCGGATTATTTGGTCGTGCCTATCAACGTTGCTCTACAATGGAGAAAGGGATCAAATCTTTCGAAACATGTAGAATCTATCCAATGAACAAGAACATATTTACTGAAGAGGACTTTCTTCCGTCGTCCGTTACATAAAGGCATGAAAATATAGTAGAACAGAACGAGTCCTCAGATTCTGATCCAGAATTTTCAGTTCCTTTATCTAAAGTGCGTAAGGTTGCCACGGATCAAGTAACTCCAGAAAAACATCAAGGTAGTAAAGGTTCACCTGGAAACAAGTCGACACAGAATATTTCATTAGATGACCTGTATCCTCCTTCTACATCACGTGACTGTACTGAAATCGAGCTAGTGAGTCCACAAAATATTCTACCACTTTCCAGAAGACCAGAACAGAAGAAGACAGGGTCAAAAATCAGAAATTTTTTCAAGCCCTCCGTTCAAAGATAATTTAATTGCGGAAATGAATCAGAAATTAAAAAAGTCGCAAAAACATGTCAAAAAAAACATTAAGGAGATTCTTCAGGGGATTAGTCCTAACTCGGCGAATGGAACAAACAACAGAACACCGAAAAAAATAAGAAAAAAGAAAAAATAAAACTGACGAAATCATTGCTTGTGCTGGTGATATCTTTTAAGACATTTGATGCATCTTTTTTACTAGATTTTTGCAGCTCCACTTTCGCAGCATATATTATGATCTCCTTTTCAAAATTAGAACACAGTTCTTCAGTCTTTCGTCTTTTGCTTCTCTCACTTGCGTCTTCAAACGATTTGGATGGTCGACCTGGTCGTTTTTGTAAAGCCCCAACGACAGGTATTTGCTTGTGCAGAAGAATACATAGATCCGCCAACAGAAGACTGGATAGAATGTGGGAGCTGTTATAAATGGTGGCACGAGCAATGTACAGCTTATGAAAATAAAGGGCCTTTCATTTGCGATGTTTGCGTTGAGTGAATAGTGATGTAGGAAGTTAGCCCCATACTAACTGAAAATTTGCCCCACTACTTTACTTTTTTAGAATTTTTGTTCCTTTTGTTAATGCATTTGTTATAAATAAATGTTGTTTTATTGTTACACACAGTTGGTTTTTTATTCATGTTAATATATGTGGTCACCAGGTGTATTCAAGTCTTAAATGCGTGGTTTTGCCCCATGCTACTCTAAATATTACAAGTTATAGCTAATTAAAGGTAGAAAAAACTTCAAAGCTACTACTGACAGTCACCAAACACCAAAAAAATTCGTTATCCCTTTATAAAATCCTGCGGTACGCATGCGGATCTATTACTAATCTGCTCGTAGAGTGGGTCACAAAATATTGATCTCAATCACAAAGCTGGATCAGTAATCAGTAATCTAATAGTTTCCATAATCTTTCTGATCCGAGTAAGTTTCCGAAAACGCCTAAAGTTTGAAAACTTTTGTAATTAATTGATTATCTCTAATGACTGGCCTATAAAGCTAGTTTATCAATAACAGTTTTTAAAAATAAAATGATGAAACATGTTTATGATTGATGACCCAGCTAGCACATAACGTTGCCAAGACTTTCGGCGATGTTGCATTAAGGGAACGTAATAACATTACTATACAACGTAAATGCAACGTTCATGAGAAGTTGTTGAGGGAAATCAAAACCTCGCAAAACTTCTATTTGTTATTTACCTAGTTAACCTACCTGTTATGTTAACACAACGTAATAAAGTAATTTGCTAAAAAGAACAAGAACTGTTTATGTCAATTGTCACTTGCCAATGTTTCTTGTCATATGTCATGTTTGTTTTTTTTAATTTGCAGAATTTCTTTTATAATTATTATTAAAAACATTTGAGTAGAAGTGGTAAGGATCCTCTATAAAATAGAAAACTATTTTCTAAACCATTTTCTTCGTTTTAGATTACAATGCCTGTTGTAAATTTTATCAAAATGTCCGGGAATATTTGGATCATATTTTTGTAGTTTTCGACAGAATGAGCTGGAGCTGGTTTATAGAATTATAAAAATGTCCGGAAATATCTGATAACTTTGTTAGAAGCTAGATAGAAGGACTTGGTTTATGAAATTATAAAATGAGGACCTCTAAATACTTGAAATACCTTATGAACGAGATATACAAAACTAAGTTGCCACGTTACTGGTCTATTTAAGGATGTAAGTGGTGGCAGTAATTCCTTTTTCCCTAGCTGGCTCTTAAAATTTAATGATTCGGAGAGTGAAGGTATTAATAAAAGTATATCTAACTGTGATTTGATATAATATCTCTTTTAGCTTATGCACAATTTACCCTGTGGTTTATAATCCCCTACAAATGGTTATTAAAGCTGTTAATGTGTTAATGGTATTGCCGATACGATACAATTTATCTTATGGTCCCCCTTTTAGTACTAGAAGGTGCACAGGTGAGTTTACATGTTTAATTTTTCAAGTTTATCTTAGGAATTATTTTAGGAATTTATCAAAACGAGCCACTACTTCTAAATTTGAAGAAATACTTGTGGCTGAGAAGTTATAAATCTTACTGCAATCAATCTGGTGATCGTTCAGGATGCGGTAATAACTGATGATGGCTTCTGGAGGTGCCAAAGCCTCAGCAAGGGGCTGCAAGTGAATCATAGCTATATAAATTGAGATTCCTATGCATGTCGCTAACATGTGTGTTTTAGGTAATATTTCAGTTCAACAAAAGACCCACTAAGTTATTAGATACATAATTATTCATAAGATAATTACAGTAAATTATAAATAAAGGCCTAAAATAAAATAACACTATTGGTATGTGATTTTAGGGGAGCATGGAGAGGTTGAACTTATCACAGATTTAGGGGCCCTTCTTTTACAAGAAACAAAATCCACAATATGTGATTCCACTTTACTAAGAATGTAACAAACTTCTGGGTAATAATATACTTAATCGAACTAAAAATACATTTTAAAAATATTGTATTTTAGATTTCCTTTGTACCTGAAAACATTCTAAGAATTTTAGAAGCAAAATAAATACTACAGACTTGTCTAAAGAAGAATAGCTATATGACATCTGAAGTTTTATAAAAAGTGAATCTACATGGTCGTCTATATTAAAAAAAAACAACATCAGATTCAAGCAAGTGCCAAACTAGAAGAAAATTTGAGAAAAATCACAGAAGATGTTGATTTTTTTATAAAATCTTCATACTAACTTGGAAATCCATAATTATGCATAAAATTTGTGAAATTCTAAAAAAAAAATTAGAGGTTTTATTTAAAACAACAAAGTAAGACAAAATTACCTAAAAATAAGTGCAACGATTTAAACTTGAGTATATTTTTTTACTTTCTATATAATTTTCTTCAATAATAGTTAAACAAGTAGGTCAATCTCTTTTTTATTCAATATGTAGTTAGAATAAAATAATTTTTGTTCACCTTTGTATAAATAATAAACTAACAAAATAAAAATATATAAATATCTATACAAAAAAAAAAGTTAAAAGGTTTGATTTTAAAAAGATGATATATCTCTGCGAGTACAGGTAAGCAATCTGGAACCTCAGCTATCTCATGATATATATACCTAAGTCATTGTTGCAATCATCTATTATTCACAGATCTAGTTTTTTTGCATCATACAATTGCCATCTTGGAACGTACGTTATATAAATATACTTTTGAACAATCGTTCACTGTTTAAGCCTCTAGTGAACCTTTGCAATATTGATACCTTATTATTACTATTAAGCAAATTTTGTCCAATCGTTCAGTGCTTTATAGGTGGCTTCTACTATACATGTGTAACTGCATTTGTGATATACCTACCTCTACTTTTGTGATATTACTACTTGATTTCAAGAACATTTTAATAATAAATTTATATAAATATTTTGTTTTATTTGAAATTTCCATGTCTCGATTGAGTTTTTACTATACCTCAATTTCAGCCTCTCCGTATTACATTACACAAAGAACAATATAGTGTGTCCATGGATGGACTTAATTATACTTGTAAAAATATTTATTTTAAATTAAAATAAGTTATTTTTCATAATTTCTTAATGTGAATCGAATATATTTAACAAGTAAATTATGAAGAATTACTTTTTTAATTTAAAATAATTATTTTCACAAGTTAAGTCCATCCGTGGACACACTGTATAATGCAGTAGAACTAATTCATATTATAACATCTATAGAAAGTTTCAGAGCAACTTTCAGGGTAAGTACCGTAAAAGTGCTAGTGTGATGTTTTCCGAACTTCACTTTTTAACTTCTGTGAGATGTGCTATAAAAGTCTTGCCGTTGCGGACATTCGGTGGTTGCAGGGATATTAGGGTTACATTAAAAGTACATTGCATGTGAGCTTAAAGAGCCTAAAATTGCAGCTTATTAACGTAGATGGGATGTTTTTGTGCTAGCTGGGGAGATACCTGTAACTGTAAATGTTGATTAAGTGTGCTAAATTCTTTTAAAAATTTTATTTGATTTATGTAAAAAGGTAAAAAACCATTATGAACTAAAATATTCGAAAAAAAATACTTACTTTTTTTATATTGCATAGATCAACATCGCCACATTTTCTCATAGCAGTTCTGATTCCATACAAATCATCTTTCCACATTTTACAAACATTTGGAACCTTAATTTGTATTCCTGAGAACTTGAAAGAGTTACTCAGGAATAAATACAGTTTTGTGAAACTCTAAAACAATTAAAATAATATTGTCACTATGAGTTAAACATTTATTACTTTGGAAATTAATAATGTAGTCCAATTAAATAACGAAAAAAAGCCCCTTCGAGCTTACATTAATTTGTAACTGGATGAAACAAAGTGGACCTTGTGTATTTTGATGTGATCTTTCCGAAAAAAAGAAAAAAAAGATGTAGCTGTTTTTCAATTTGTTTTAAATTAGGAAAACCGGGTTTTCCGGAATTTTCCATGCTAAAAATGCTAATTATCTGGGCAAGTTTTATTCTGATATTAAAAATAAATGCACCAATCGAAGGAGGAGGCAAAAATAGTTCGAAAATCCATTGCAGGTAGTTTTAATGGCGAGTTTCTCGCCGCCAGAAGTGGTTTTACCAAAAAGTTTTTTCGTTTCTTTGATCAGAACCATGAACATGAAATTTGCGATGAATTTGTGGCGAAATTATAAATGTTAGACATATGTGCCCATGAGAGAAGTTGCGTATTTTTTTGTTGGCTCTCAAATAAAGTTAGTCTCGCGGCAAAATCTGCCATAATTTTTCGGGAATTAGCAGGAAACCGGAAGGCGTAGTTTTTTTTAAATTTTTTTCACATGTGATTTTCTCCGGGTTTTTCGAAAACATCTAACAAAAAATATATTTGAAAAAATTAACTGCGCACAAAGACCACAGAGAGCACAAAAAATACTCAGAAAGGTATACTTTAAAAATGTTAGAAAATTAATTCTAAGCCTGAGTGTAAGTTCCAACTTGGTGATAAGTATGGGATCTTTTAACTTTGGGGATCCCATATTGTAAATAATATAGCGGTTGTAAAAGGGTATATATTAATATAATGAAATAGACAATTCCGTAATGACAGAAAATTATATATATGACATTTTTCTTTTTTAATAAATATTAATGCTTGGCAACCGAGGTCGTCAAGTAGATAGATAGGGTGCACTTAAATCCTACCTAGCCCAATCGGATTAGGTGAAGAACAGGCTTGAGATTCTGAAAAATTCGAAGCAGCAATTTTCCTTCGGAATTCGTTGGAGGGGGTCTGTGGTAGTCTAAATTCAAAAAGTTGGGATTCCAAAGTTGTCGTTACCTCCGCCAGCTTGATTTAAAGGGTTATTTTTTGTATCTTGAATAACTCATTTATTTTCAATTTTACACGGAAAATAGTTTTTACAAAAGTTATTTAAAATTAAATTTCCTACAATTCTGCTTTTTTTTTGTACGATCGATTTTTTTCGATTTATACCCGAAAAGAGGGGGTGAATTTTTGGTTATAGAATAACTCGTTTATTTTCAATTTTACGAGAAAAATTGTTATAAACAAAGTTGTTTAAAATTAAATTTCCTACAATTCTGTTTTTTTTTGTACGCTCGATTTTTTTTTATTTATTCCTGAGAAGAGTGGGGGTACTTTAGAAAAAATCGGAATCATATTTGTACCAAATAACATTTTTGAAAATCAGCAAAAAAAAAACAAACAGAAAAAATAATGGTACAACATCAATAATAAACGTGACAATACAATACTTAGGTTCACTCCCACTCTTCTCAGGGATAAATACAAAAAAATCGATCGTACAAAAAAAAACAGAATTGTAGGAAATTTAATTTTAAACAACTTTGTTTATAACAATTTTTCTCGTAAAATTGAAAATAAACGAGTTATTCTATAACCAAAAATTCACCCCCTCTTTTCGGGTATAAATCGAAAAAAATCGATCGTACAAAAAAAAGCAGAATTGTAGGAAATTTAATTTTAAATAACTTTTGTAAAAACTATTTTCCGTGTAAAATTGAAAATAAATGAGTTATTCAAGATACAAAAAATGACCCTTTAAATCAAGATGGCGGAGGTAACGACAACTTTGGAATCCCAACTTTTTGAATTTAGACTACCAGAGACCCCCTCCAACGAATTCCGAAGGAAAATTGCTGCTTCGAATTTTTCAGAATCTAAAATACTAATCCGATTGGGCTAACCTCCCACTAAGCTGCCTTAATAGGTAATATTGATATGTGTGGCATGGGTGTGACATGTATCAATATATTATGAGTTGGAGTTAGTATGTAGTGCTTCCAAGGCATTACAATAAGCTTGTTTTTTGTTCTCTAACATCTGGTTTTCTTCTCGGTTGATGCTCCATCCTCCTTTTTTTGGGCATTGTCAATCGCGGCCTTTTTATGCCTATCCCAGTTTTATAAATAAACTCTTTTCCGTAACGTCGAGCTACGTAATGTTTGCGATACCTCTCACGCAATATAAAACCTGGTTCTAAAAAACTGAAAAAATCATCCCCCCTTTCTTTGCTTACCGTCTGCAGACCTTTCAATCCAGTTGGTCTAATTGGGTTAAGTTTACCCTCTGCAAGTGTCTGATGACATAATAAACACAGGCCAGCGATTTCAACCTGGAAACAAACAAATTATAGCACTTTGATAGAATTTTATTAATTTAGGAACGTACTTACTCAATAAATAATTGCTGAAGAAGTCCGAAAAACCACATGTATACACAGCTTGCTGAAAACGGTTATTAAAAATTTATGCCGATGAACACTATCAAGCGATTCAATTTGTAATAATATGACCGTTTGAAGTTTAAACTTGTCGGATAGCGAACGCCGAGACCATGGCTTTCCTTGATACGACGTGCAGCTAATGTTGCGGTAATTTTATTTTTTGCACAAAACTCAAGAAACGTCTTACAACAAGTCAGTAAAATACAATTTAATACATTTTAGGCCTAATAAATTAGAGTATGTAAGAAATTTAAAACTGGAAATCACAAAAAAATCAAATTACAGAAATACAGTGTATACACGAGTTTTGGATCCCGCATAGCGCGTGTAATGGGACTTTTGTCGGAAGAATTCTACAGCTTAGAAGAAACATACACAGTTTAAACTTTGTGTACACATTTAGAAGACATAAAATTTGGGTTTGCTCAATTTTCAGACCAAAAAACTGAAAATCGTCAATTTTAGGCAACTTTTCTCAAAAACCGTGTTTTTTGGTCGTCACTCAATGAACAGTGGTCAAAAAAATAGATAATATATTTTTGCAGAATTTTTCGTAATGTAATCGTATTCTAAACACAATAGAGTATTAAAAAAAGTTTTGAGTTATTGGGTGCATTTTTGGCATTTTTGTGCCACTTCAAACTTTCGAAAAAAAATTTAATTTTTTTTTAGGGAAAAAAATTTGTTTAATTATTTGATATCTTGGCCAATTATAATCCGATTTTAGTGAAATTCACACACGTATAAGATGTCATATTCAAGAGTAAGCTCTGTAAGTGGCATTAAAAAAGTTTAAATAGTATGGCCGTTATAGGCAAACAATGAAATTAGGCCCGCGGTACACTTTGCCCTTTCGCCATATGCCCACTTTTGGGATTTCTTTTGCCCCCTTCTGGGAATCAATAGTCACATCCCTTATGTTCAAAACGCATTTTTGATTTTTCAAATATCTTAATTTTTACCAAAGGTATGAAGAATTTAGTGTTTGAACGTTTAAAAAATTCAATTTTTCGACCTTCGCTGCCTCAAAATACTAAACAAACTTCAATCGTCCATACCGCGAGAACGGTGCATCGGATCAAAATTTCTCAAGAGACATGAAAATTAGCATTTTTTCTAAGCTTTCAAATGTCGTAAACTGCGTTTTGAAAATATTGATTTATTTCCGACATGCGCCTGCGCAAAATTAAAAAAATTGACAAAATCCAAAATTTCGGCACTTTTGAAAAACTGCTACATTTTGTTTTGCCTTTTTTCGAAAAATTCACCTCAAAATACATAGAATCCATTTTGTTTCATCTAATTACAATTTAATGTAAGCTCAAAACCCGTAATTTAATTCGATTAATGCTAACATTTGTTAATATCAAAACTTCATCAAGACCCACCGAGCACGTTTACCAAAACGAGATTGATTGATAATATACGAGGTAAAAAAAACTCATTAAACTTAAAATGACGTCTCGTTCCTTAAAAAAAACACATATATTTCAGTAAAACCTTTTTATTACTTAAAATTTTCTTTTTGTGGGCTAACACCTACGATAAAAAAGAAGAAAAACTATTAGAATTTAAGGTCTTATTTATCATTACATGAGATGTGCAGGAGAATTCAAAATTATTAAAACTTTTACAGACAATATTTTTTATTTCATTCGAAAACTGACAACTGACTCAAAAATATAATATACAGGGTATAAACAATAAATAATCATGAATGTATTCCAACAGAGACAACAGTTATGTAGTAAAAAATAAAGGATATATACAGAGACTTTCGTTTCCTTCAAACAGTATTTTTTCAAAAATATCCAAGATTTCAAAAATTTTATTGACTTCATTATATAGTACGTACAAGGTGGGCCATCGGTAATGTCTCAGTCTGTAGAGCCAAAATTATTTTCCTATTTAAATCAGTTTCACAGTTATAAAATTAACTAATTAAAAAATTATCTTAAAAATCTTTAAAATTGTTTTAGCTTACCACGATTTTTCTTCCATCAACATCTTGCAATATCCAAATGGATGCATTCATGGCAAATTGCGTTCGGTTAAACTTGAATAATTTGAAAGAAAAGTTAGAAGCGGCCAATTCAGTATTGAAATAGTCTATTCGTAAATTATTGAAAAGGGCTTTATAATCAGTCTAAAATGTACAATTTTTTTCATAAATAAAATATTTTAGAAAGGGTTATTTTCACTTATAATACCACTAGTTTCTAAATTATTTACGAATATTTTGAAAATTGTCCCGAGGTTTAAAATCGTGTATGATGAAAAGTTTCTTGTTATTAATTCAAGATCGTGAGAGATTCGGTAAGAAAATTTCAAATATCTAAAACTAAAATAGCGAAGTAGGCTTTGTAATTGTCAATGAACCTGAACGAACCTCTTTAAATTAACGGAAGTTTATTGTTTATAAAAATGTCTTATAGCGTTTTCGATTCCAGTTAGAGATGCATCAAATCAAACTAGTTTGATTTGACAAGTTAAGTTTGATTTGACTTGAAAAATCAAGTTTTTTTTATAAAAGAATTTGATTTGATTTGAAAATCAATTCGGGAGCTTGATTTAAAATCAAACTTTTTCAAACTGTTTGAAATAGTTTGAAATACGAAAAGTGTACGTACCGGCACCGGCCGTAAAGCTTTCTAAATTTTTTAAGATTACACAATGAGACCTACAGTCTGTTCGCTATACTTACGCGGGTTTCGGATTAAAAATTTTATGAGTATTTCCAGGTAAAAACCCGAAAGTTTGACCTGTTCTTTGGGGAAATATCAACGGGTTAAATGAAATGAAAAATAATGTACAACTTTTTAATTAAATAATAATGGAGAATCTTTTGTATAATTGAGAGCAGGATTAAATTTCCTTATTAATGGAGTCTAATGTGGCTATTATAAACCTAATAATAATTTTATATTACACTTCACACAGAAAATATGGCCTATGTATAATAAGAGGGTTATTTAGCTCAAATAAAATATTTTCTAACATAAAAATTTGTTTCATGTAGAGAATTTCAAATGAAAAATAAAAAAATTGAACTTGCCAACAAAAATGAAAATCAGTCATTATCAAATTTTGAAACGTCGGCCGGGCGCGCTCGCTTCGCTCGCTCTCTTCTGAAGCAGTTAGCAGGTGGGTGAGTAGACGGCAGCATATGTCTTATAGTGTAGATGTAAAAAATGCGCGCTCGGCCGACTACGTGCGCGAATTTCGAAACGTAGGCCGGACGCGCTCGATTCGCTCGTTCTCTTTTATAGTGGTTAGAAGGTGGGTGAGATGACGGCAGCTTAATATATAGTTTCTTGTTGTACACTTTGTATATTAATTTTGAATTATACCTTAACATGTCAAATTTCTTAAATATTTGTTAATTAAAAAATGTTTAAATAACATGGCCATGGTATTCAAATTTATTACCTATTTATTTACTCCTGTAATTTTTTAGATGAGTGTAATTTTCTCTCTCGGTCAAATGATTTTTGAATATCTGAATTACTTTTAAATTTTAAAGTAAGAAAATATTAAACGTCGTAATTTTAAAAAGTGGGTATCGGTGTACGTTTTAAATGTAGCTGAACGTATTTGGGGAATAACGTCACGGCTAACCCAGCAGAAATTATACGAATTCGGCTATCCTCTTTAGTTAATGATAATCGTTGACTTTGGCCGTCAAGTCATATGTTGTCAGATAAATAAATTTCCTTGTTTAAAAAAACTTTAAACACTTTTGGGTAAAGTAATTGAGTTTTTAAAAAGTAAACATTGTTTATTACTTTATAGATGATGTAATATTAATATTCAGTCAATTGTCTATTACAACAATTTAAATAAAATTGGTAATTATTGGGAAGACTCCCTTTAAAATACTATATAAAATGAGAACTTTTAGTGTAACAATTTTTTTTTTTTTTAAATTCTGAGTTCTTAAAATTAATCGAACCCAAAATATCACATTTTTTGCGATTTCCACCGGTGGTGTAATTATAGTTTTTTACATTTATTTTTCATTGATTTGGATTGGAGAAGTTGGCAACACCGCGCATTTGTAATGGCGTCACAGTTTTCAGTATGACAGGACAGATATAATTCTAAAAAGAAGCTTATATAAATGATCCTCAAAATTCCTAAATAATACATAAAAAAGAAAAAAAAAAAGTAAAATATATGGAGTTTCTGCAGATAAATTTGAAGATTACTATCCTTCCTAAAGCCTAAAACGTAAGTTTTAAAAAAAAATTTGGATTATTTAGAAAAGGGCGTCTTCCCAATAATTACCATAATTTATTGTACCTTACCTCACAAAATGTTGGATTTTAATAAAATTGAACTTAATATTATCAAGGCTGTGACTACGTACACGCTGCGACGTGTTTTTAAATTTACATTCCGTACACGTCACAAGGCGTGTTTTTAAAATACAGATTAGACGCACGGCCTCAAACGTGTTCTGTGGTCAAACGTGTGTTATAGATATTGGATAGTGGGTGAGTATTGACTTTTGTTGTTATTGTGAATTGTGAGCTTGTCTTGGTTGTTTTTATCAGAGTTTTTATTAATAATCCTAATAAAATCCTTTATTCCACATGCACGTAGATTAAAGTATATTATCAAAAATACACAATGGTATTAGTGGGACTGCCAAAA